CCTCTTTATATCCCATGAAATATTATTAATTGTTAATGGTATTAACCACCAAGTTCCTTGAGTATTTTTAATAGACTGAATACTTTCTTTATTTTGTTAGGGTTTCTACACTGGAATCTCTATTTATGCATATCTTTCTGTACAAAAATGGACTAGTTATAAACTGACTTTAGATTTATTGACTTTACATGTGGTCATGTGGAATGAAGTTGGCTCCCTGACAGGTTTTTGTTTAAAAGATAACATTAGCTTATGGAACATTAATTTTTAGTACACCAATAGAATCTTAGTTTAATGCATCCAGCATCTAGTAGTTAATTCATATTTCCTATTCATGCACTGATGTAATGCTGTTGTGTAAAGTTTCTGGAGGCATGACCTCGTTAATCCAAGGTTCTTATGAGTACTTCCACTACCTCCAAGATGGATTTGATGACTCGGTAATTAGATTTCTTCTCAACCTCAATTCTTCAAAATCCTTTGTTTTAAAACTTTCTATCTGATCATCATCCAATTTGAGTCTTGTTGTAATGCTTGTTCCATAAATTGGCTGCAAAATGCCTTTACATTACGTGCTATAGCTTGCAAATATCATACCATTGCAGCTCCCATATTTTCCCTGGCCCTCCTTAGCCTTATTCAATTATTTGGTTTCCATGGTCTTTACTTTTATTTTTTTGGCTAGGTAAGAAATACATTTAAAAAAAAAAAAAACAAACATATAAAGCTAGACTCATACTAAATTTTCTTGGGACCATGTAATAATGCATACGTAATTATGTGTCTAGATGTATTCATAGGCGTTGTATCACCATCACAATTAATAAAAGAATAGCTTCACTCCCGTGGACGTAGCCACATAGGCACATTGCCGAACCACGTAAATCTTGCATTCTTTACTTTTTGCCATTGTTATTGTTTCTTGTTCTTGTTAATCTCAATAATGTGTTATGGATATGTTTCCATCAGTTACTCCTGTATAAATTGCACAAGTTTACCTCCAATTCATGTCATCAAAGAGAATATTGTATGTTTTTTTTTTTTTTTTTCTAAGCTAGATGGCACAACTGTAGTATCAGTTCATTATGATGTTTCTTGGCCTTTCAAATTATTTTCTCCAGGTCTTTTACATTAACAAGTTTACTTTGTAGGGATGGGGTTGTGCTTATCGTTCTCTACAGACCATCATTTCATGGTTCAGACTGCAAAATTATACTACAGTTGATGTTCCTTCTCACAGGTATTTAGTTCAACTTCTGTAATTTTTTCTTTTTGGGGGTACATTTGGTGGGGGATGGGGTTCGAACCCATAACTTACCATGCTACACCCTAAACCCCAACGTATGTTATTGCTGAAGTTAATTTATTCTTTACAATTAGTCTTGATTTGATAAATTTTCATAAGGGGTCTTGAGTTACTTTACCATGTCATTAATCTCAAACTAAGAGCCCATTATTGCAGGGAAATACAACAGGTACTTGTGGAGATTGGAGATAAGGATCCTTCATTCATAGGGTCACGCGATTGGATAGGAGCCATTGAGCTTAGCTTTGTTTTGGACAAACTTCTTGGTGTAAGTGTGTTTTTAAAAAAAAAAAAAAAAAAAAAAAACTAAAATAATATTCTTATTGCAAGTGAATTGTGAACTTATTGTCCATTATCGTGTATGATGAAAAATTGAGTGACATCTCAAATGTTTTTTTTTCCTCTTTAAGGATGTTTTATTTTATTTTATTCTACTAAAATAATATTCTTATTGCAAGTGAATTGCAAACTTATTATGGGGGTGTTTGGTAAATGGTTGTTAGCTGATAGCTGTTAGTTGATCGGGTTAGTGAGTTTAACTAGTTGATAGCATTAACTGATTGCAGAAAAGTGTTTGGTAAATTAGCTATTAGTTGTTAATTGATTACATACAAAATGACTTTCTCAAAAAATTGATTGGAAAAGCTACTTTGAGGCTTTGAACAGCTTTTTGAATTTTAGCATTTTGGAGCAATAAGTTGTTACAGAAAGCTAATTAATCAAACACTCATATTGATTGTTTAACCAATTCAAACAGCTAATAGTGGTCAAATAAGCCAAAATTGGTTGATAGGCTAACTATTTTACCAAACAAGGCCTATATGATAAAAAATTATGAGTGACATCTCAAATGGCTTTTTGTTTTTTGATTTTTTTTTCCCAAGATTTGCATCAACTTGACCTTTTGTTTGCCATGTTAAACAGGTTAGCTGTAAAGTCATAAATGTAAGATCAGGGTCAGAGCTTCCTGAAAAGTGTCGAGAGCTAGCATTGCACTTCGAGAATCAAGGGACACCTATCATGATTGGTCAGTACAAACAAAAAATTAATAGTCGAGCTTCTGTCATATACCAACTTTGTTTTAATGGCTGTGATAGTTGAAAGATGATTAATGGGAAGAATGATGGAAGATTATATCTAGTTACCAAAAACTAATTTTATATAAAACCATCTATCTCTTCTCCTCCCAAATACTCTGTCTACCGAACCAGTGAAACCATCTATCTCTTACTTGCAGGTGGTGGTGTTCTTGCATATACACTCTTGGGTGTAGATTACAATGATGCTAGTGGTGATTGTGCGTTTCTTATATTGGATCCTCACTACACGGGCAGCGATGATCTCAAGAAAATAGTTAATGGTGGATGGTGTGGGTGGAAGAAAGCTGTGGATAGCAAGGGAAAGCATTTCTTCTTGCACGATAAGTTCTATAATCTCTTGCTTCCGCAGAGGCCTAACATGGTATAGATATTTGGTGAGAGCTTCATCATAGTATACTAGTTGTTGTGTTCAATAGGAATGGATTTTTTTTTTTTTTTTTTTTTTTTTTTTTTTTAAATATGTACTAGTTGTTGTGTTCAATAGGAATGAACTTCTTTCAGTTTCTTTTTTTTTTTTTTTTTTTTCCATTTTTTATAATAGAAGCTGCAGGTCAACCGTGAATGTGGTTAAATATGTTTAGAATTGATTGAAATATGTTTTGCAAATATTTAATAAGGGTGTTAACTTTTTTGTTTTTTATTTTAAAGGTGTTGCTTTTTAATGTTGGACAAAGGTGTTTAAAACTCTTTTGGAAAATGCGTTTTATGGATTGTACATGTGCACGTGTGGATTTTTTAAAAATTTAATTTTGTAAATGCATTTTTGAAATTTTGATTTTGATTTGGACAAAATTTTCCACTTTTTTTTTTTTTTTTTCTTATAGAAAAAGTGCATTCCAATATTTGAAATAAAGAATAGTTACCCCACTTCATAAAAGATTCATAACTAAGGTGATATACTTCTGGTGCGGGTTGTTCCCAGGTAAAAATGGGGTTAGATCTGAGATATTGATCAAATCTAGATCAATAGTTCAAATCAATAATTTTTTTTTTTAAAAAATGCACGTTCTTCATTAATGCTCTCATCTGAGCATTTGAGATGACATATATCCGTTTGAAAAGCAGGAAAATGACTTTTGAAAAGTGTTTTCTGAAAAATGAGTTATTTTCCCGGAAAATAAGTCATTTTTCGGTGTTTGGCTACACAACAGAAAATTGTTTTTGTGTTTGGTTTATTTTCCAGAAAATGAGAAAAATGACAAAAGTCGAAAGAAAATAATATTTATTATTATCAAACACTAAAATAATAAGTAATTCATTATAATTATAAACATAATCTTTGACAGCTGTCCAGTGTCCAGACTTCATCTTCCTAGAAATTGACTTCATTTCTTCCCAAAATTGATTTCCAGTGTAGATACAAATCTTTGACGAGCAACCTCTGTCTGTTTCTCTTTATTCTCCCAAAGCCTTAATAGCAGATCCTGTAACCTCAATCTCCCTATTTCTTTTTTCTAGACCAGCAGTGATGGGGTTAGCGGCAGTGACCTGACCTAGTGGCTAGGCAGAGCAACGGCGGACCTGGGTTTCTTCCTCTGTCTTCTTCTCCGACGAGTCCTCCGTCTCCGGCGTACTCTTTGCAGTGGCGAGCAAAGCATCTCCGGCAGTGCAAGAAGTCCAACGGCGTCTCCTGTTTTCCGGCGAAGTAGTCCGCGTGGCAGCAACGACGAGCAGATCGACGGCGGTAGTTTCTGACGGTGCAGCTTCCCCTCTTGCCCTTTCTAGTGTTGATGGAGGTTGTAGCGTCTATGGCCGAAGAGAACAAAGAGTGGAAAATGACTTCCCCCAAAAAAAAGGGGAAGTCATTTTCCAGAAAAGAGGGCTTATTTTCCATTGACTTCAAGTCATTTTCCTTTGACTTCTCTTTTCCTTGCCTAACCAAACATCAAAAACCCGGAAAATGATTTTCAAAAATTATTTTCCTGGTTTCCAAACACACCCTAAAAGAATTCATGAAATTGTTTATAAAATTAATAAAAATTTATTTTATTTTATTTTTTCTTAAGAAGGAAAAACAAAGCATCTTAAGAAGGAAAACAAAGCACCTTAAGAAGAAAACTCACACACCTAAAACTTTAGACCGACGCACCTTAAGAAGGAAAATCATGCACTTTAAGAAGGAAAATCACACACCTAAAACTTTAGACCATCGCACCTTAACTTTTAACAAATGATGCACCTTAAGCACACAAATCACACACCTTAAGAAGAAAAATCACGCACCTAAAACTTTAGACCGACACTTAAATTTTCAACAACTGACGCATCTTAAGCACACAATACAAAAACTACTACAAAAATCACGCATCTAAAGTTTTAGACCGACACTTAAGTTTTCAACAACTGACACACCTTAAGCACACAATACAAAAATCATTCACCTTAAGCACAAAAATCACACACTTGGAAATTACACACTTAAAAACAGGAAAATCATGAACCTTAAATTTGACTTAAAATGTAAAATTTCCAAATTGTCTAACTCATTTTTTTTTAAAAAAATTGTTAATCCTACATGTTGATTTTGACAAGATCGTGGGCTCTCATGTAATGTTTTAATAGCATTTTTCATAGTATCGTTCAAATTTTAAAAGCTTCATATGTTTTTTGTTCAATCAATGTAAGACGAATATTTGGCCATTTGAGTGAATTTTCCCCAATCTCCTGTTGCGCTAAGCATACCGCAGTCCGCAGATAGGCAGACGGTGAGAGCCTGAGACGCAGACTGCAAAATCCTCACCTTCGCCGCCCATCATCTATCAGTAGTCCTAATCTGAAATCTCAGCCATCGTCCACCGTCCGTCGTCCGCCAACATCGCCTCGCCTCACACCGGCAGCGGCACTTGGCAGTAAGTTACTAAATTATTACTCCGAAGAAAGTAAATGTTTGGTTATTTAGAAGGACTTGGCAAAAATCTTACGACCTCACCCTGAGGAAAGCCAATTGATCAGGTATTTTTCTGATTTTCCTTTCTTGTGTAGAGCTCGAAGCTACGTGGTTATTTGTTATGCATTCTCTGTGTTTTAACTTGGCTTACTTTTCGACTTCTTTCATATTGTGTCTTTGTGTTTGTGTTTATCCCAATCCTACTAGAATAGAATACAAGGAAGATGAATATTAGTCAAAGGAAGAGGAAAAAAAAAATAATAAATTCCACATACTGTTTTGTATTGAGAGAAAAGGTATAAGTGTTTCTTATACTGTTCTAAATTCACATACGAGAGGTAGGTTACAATAGAGAGATAGGAAGATCAAGTCGTTTCCATCCTTTGCACTTTAAACCGTGCTTATAGTGAATTTACACTTTTATATACTAATATACGAGAACTGCCTTGCGGATTAGGGATTTTCCGAACTGCTTTAGAAGTTTTTGTGTCACAATGACTGTTCTAAACATCACATGATCCTTAAATTTTCAGTTTCCTTGAAGTTTCAATGCTGAATACTGAGTAATAATAATTCCTGAAATTTTGACAATTGATAGTGTCAATTCTGTTACACTTTCACCAACAAATATTTTATTGCCTTCTGAGTTTCTTCCAATTTGCTCTGTAAAGTAAGTAAAATTTGGTCTCACATTTTTTCAGAGAAAAAACTTAATTTGAGGTTCAACTTGATCTTCCTTTGGTATAAAATTTTCTATGCTGGATTTGTTGTTCTTTTTTCTTGAACTGAACGGGTCACTTTTTATTTGGTTAGTATCTAAGAAGACATGAAAAAACCCTTCATTCTTGTTGAATGAAGCATGCTATCTGAACAAAGAAATATCTTGCGAGGCATTTGTTTTTGCATTGAAGCATGCTAAATGAACATGGGAATATCTTGTGAGGCAATTTCTTTTTTATTGAAGCATGCTAACTGAACACAGAATATCTTGTGAGGCAATTTGTTTTTGCACTAAAGTTTTTATTATTTTTTATTTTTTTAGCCCATACCTTCATACTTGTTGAATTTTCCTCCACAGTCAATGGTGAAGTATGCACAAAATCTTGCTTTTGCCAATTCAATCATCTCTTCAACTGCAACAATCCCCACAAAAATCGGTGCTCTCTTTACGCGTTTCTTGATCACATCATTAGCAGAGACCTCATCTTCTGCGGTGTATTCCTCAGATTCAGAAATCAGATCAGGTGTACAAGTTGATCATAAATGTTTCACTTCATCTCTTGATGTTATTGACGACAAGGACCTTCTTAGAAAGGCTCCTAATGGGGAGCTTTTGGTGCTTGGACTTATTGACAGGGGTGCAATGGAACCAGATGCCACTTTGTATCACAAACTCATCAAGAAATGTGCTGAATGTAAAAGACTCAAAGAAGGTAGAGTAGTTCACAAGCATTTCGTTCGTTCCAGGTTCAACCATTACGTTGTTCCTTACAACACGCTAATTAATATGTATTCCAAGTGTGACAGTATGCAAGAGGCTCAGCAGGTGTTCAATGAAATGCCTGAAAGGGATATGGTTTCTTGGGCTACTTTGATTACTGGATATTCCCAAAACGAGAGGGCTGTTCAGGCATTGGCTATGTTTCATGAGATGTTGAGGGCTGGGTTCATGCCTAATGAGTTTACTTTTGGGAGTGTTCTCAAGTCTGCTGGTGCTGCACCAACTGATAGTATGATTGGTAGGCAAATACATGGGGTTTGCTTGAAATATGGATATGAGGAGAATGTGTATGTTGGGAGTGCTCTTTTGGATATGTATGCCAGATGTGGACAAATGGAAGAGGCAATGTTTGTCTTTCAGGCAATGAGGAGCAAGAATGAGGTTTCTTGGAATGCTTTGATTGCGGGACATGCTAGAAAAGGGGAAGCAGAGAATGCTGTGAATCTTTTCTCAGGTATGAAGAGAGGTGGTTTTTACCCAACCCATTATACTTTTTCAAGTATTTTCACTGCTTGTGCATGCAGTGGAGCTTTGGAGCAAGGCAAGTGGGTGCATGGGCATATGATAAAATCAGGCTTAGGACTTATTGCTTTTGTTGGCAATACTCTTCTCAATATGTATGCTAAGTCAGGTAGCATTAATGATGCCAAAAAAGTTTTCTACCGATTGGTAAAAAAGAACATAGTTTCGTGGAATTCAATGCTTACTGCCTGTGCTCAACATGGTCTTGGGATGGAAACTGTGGAGCTCTTTGAAGAAATGCTTATAGAGGGACTTGAGCCTAATGAGGTGACCTTCCTGTGTGTGCTTACCGCTTGTAGCCATTCCGGACTTCTAGATAAAGGAATGCATTATTTTGAATTAATGAAGAAAATGAAGGTAGAATATGATATTTCACATTATGTGACAATAGTTGATTTACTTGGTCGAGCAGGTCAACTAGATCGTGCTCAGAGTTTCATAAAAGATATGCCAATTGAACCCACTGCAGCCATCTGGAAAGCATTGCTTGGAGCTTGTAGAAAGCACAAAAATATGGAGTTGGGTGTCTTTGCTGCTGAGCGTGTATTTGAACTTGATCCTTATGATTCAGGACCCCACATATTACTGTCCAATATCTATGCCTCTGCTGGTAGGTTGAGTGATGCTGCAAAAGTGAGAAAGGCAATGAATGACAGTGGAGTAAAGAAAGAACCTGCATGCAGTTGGTTGGAACTTGAGAATGCTGTCCACGTGTTTGTGGCAAATGATGAATCTCATCCACATAGAGAGGAGATCCGAAAGATGTGGAAGAAGATGACTGAAAAAATTAAGGAAATTGGATATGTCCCTGACACAAGCCATGCCCTTTGGTTTATGGACCAGCAGGAGAGAGAAGAGAGGTTGCAAGAGCATAGTGAAAAGCTAGCTTTAGCGTTTGGGCTTCTCAATACTCCGGCTGGATCCACTATCCGGATCAAGAAGAATATTAGAGTTTGTAGTGATTGTCATACAGCATTTAAATTTGTTTCAAAGGTGGTTGACAGAGAGATCATCTTGAGAGATACCAATCGGTTCCATCACTTCTGTAATGGTTCTTGTTCATGTGGAGACTACTGGTAGCAAAAAAGGTTATTGCTTTTATGCAACACTATTCAAGTTTCTTTTGATGGTGGTTGACAACTTGGCGAAGAAATCCTATTGAGAGACTTCGATCGGTTCCAGCACCTTTCTAATGGTTCTTGTACATGTGGAGATTGCTGGTAGCACAAAGCTCGTTGCTTTTATGCAATGGTTGGTGTTCAAGTTTGTTTCAATGATAGTATACAGATAAATCGACTTGAGAGACACCTGGAGGTTAGTGATAGCACAGAAGACATTGCTTTCTATGCAACAATTGACTGCTGAAGACACAATTTCCAAGAGAAATGTGGATTATGTGATAGGATACCATTCCATACGAGGTTAGCTATTGCCATGATTGCTGTTAATCACTTGTTAGCTACACAATTTTGTAGTTGTATTCATTTAAATTATATTTATTGTGGCTTTTATCATATATGAGCTACCAGCAAAATACTATACCAACATGCAATTGCTAGTTTGCTATATATATATGTATGTATGTGTGTGTGTGTGTGTGTGTGTGTGTGTGTGTGTGTGTGTGTGTGTGTGTGCGTGCATGCATGCATGCATGCATGCATGTATGTATGTATGTATGTATGTATGTAATTAGGTTCAAATGAGAACCTCCGTTAACATGTGAACTTGTGTACCATTGTGCATCGTTGATCTTGCCTGATCTTGTGGTTTATAATGATTTGATCTGATAAATATATATAACTGCATCACATCACCCCATCACTGCATGACTACACAACTGCACTGGATCCACCATTACACCACTCCTCAGATCTCGGCCGTCCAATCTCACATCTCAGCGGTGCATAGGAGTTCATAGGTACACTCCCAAGCAGTGGTTCTCACCTGAACCGAACCCTATATATATATATATATATATATATATATATATATATATATATATATATATATGTATGTATGTATGTATGCCATTTTTGGTCCTTGAATTATGGCTTAATAGCTGACTCAGTCCAATTATTCGCGTAGCACTTTCCACCCTTCAGTTGTTACCATGGTAGTGCTTTTTACCCACGGGTGGACCGGAATTCTTAGAACACCACAAACGTTTATAAACTTGAAATTTTAGGGATAAACTTATAATTTTGCAATCTCCACTTCTAATTCCCTCCTAACAAAGCTGTAGACACATTCCTATTCCCTAAAATTGACAATTGGAAAACCCTAGAAATCAAAGGCAGAAATAGCATATGACAAGTAGGGAAGTACTTGGGCTGGATGGACCTCCTAACTGTAAGTTTATACAACTACTTTTATGACATATTATTTGTATTCTTGTCTGGTGGTATGTGTTAATGGGTTGTAGGTATTAAATGTATACATAGTGAGTATCTTAATGGTGGTTTGTGGGAATTCATTTGTTTCTCAAGGCAAGTGGACGTATTTTTAATATGTAAAGTGTTTATGTGTACTGGACTTTAGGGGACACATGTGAATATTCTACTGTTATTTTTCTGGGATTTGTATGCTTTTGTTTGAGGCTATTCTCAATAGTCTGTACTCAGCACGTACACAAATAAATAGGAAGTGTTCATATGGTATTTAGACAAAGTTTAAAGGTAAAGCTCATTATATGGTATTTAGACAGTGTCCATAACTGATGAAGGGTGGACATGAATAAAGTTCATAACTGTTAAAGGTTAGAGTTTAAATGTGGACATGAATACATTATACATGATTAATTGTAGTTTTGTAATTATTATAAATTTATAATTGTATATAAACATTATTATATATTACTTGCTATGGGATGTTAGCTTTAAATATGTAATATGAATGCTTCTGTTAGTGTGCCTTTAGTGGAATATATTTGACTGTAGTATGTGTATTTAATTATGTTTTATAATTTAGATGCTGGTAAAGAAGATATTATGTTCACAATTAAGCTATATCATCATTATCATGGAGGTGTGCTAGTTTCAGATCCTGTTCTTGACTAGGCGTGATAGAATATTTTGATTATTGGTATGGTGATTAGGGGTCTGTGACTCTGTGGTGGGTCCTAGACAGATTGTTAAATCCCTAAGATGTGACGATAAGAAGGTCCAATTTTGGTTTAAATATGGGGATGTGTTTACACCAAAGATCAGAAAACTTTATAATGATGCCTATGACCTGAACTTTGAGGCTCCTAGTAACAGAGAGATTGAAATATGTCAAAATTTTGAACAAGATATATGGGATTATATTGGGCGGAGGCTGGTAAAGGGCCAGGTCCATCAATTGGTGGCTAGGAGGATTGTTGGGCGGAGGCCAGTGAAGGGCCAAGTCCAGCACCTGCCTCTCGAAAATGATGGTGGTCTATAAGGAAATAAAGTTGCATCTTTGCTACTAGCTATAGCTTTTGGTGTAGTGATAAGTGCTTTGATCCTAACAAAGTGGTAACAGAGAGATTGAAATATGTCAAAATTTTGAACAAGATATATGGGATTATATTGGGCGGAGGCTTGTAAAGGGCCAGGTCCATCAATTGGTGGCTAGGAGGATTGTTGGGCGGAGGCCAGTGAAGGGCCAAGTCCAGCACCTGCCTCTCGAAAATGATGGTGGTCTATAAGGAAATAAAGTTGCATCTTTGCTACTAGCTATAGCTTTTGGTGTAGTGATAAGTGCTTTGATCCTAACAAAGTGGTAACAGAGAGATTGAAATATGTCAAAATTTTGAACAAGATATATGGGATTATATTGGGCGGAGGCTTGTAAAGGGCCAGGTCCATCAATTGGTGGCTAGGAGGATTGTTGGGCGGAGGCCAGTGAAGGGCCAAGTCCAGCACCTGCCTCTCGAAAATGATGGTGGTCTATAAGGAAATAAAGTTGCATCTTTGCTACTAGCTATAGCTTTTGGTGTAGTGATAAGTGCTTTGATCCTAACAAAGTGGTAACAGAGAGATTGAAATATGTCAAAATTTTGAACAAGATATATGGGATTATATTGGGCGGAGGCTTGTAAAGGGCCAGGTCCATCAATTGGTGGCTAGGAGGATTGTTGGGCGGAGGCCAGTGAAGGGCCAAGTCCAGCACCTGCCTCTCGAAAATGATGGTGGTCTATAAGGAAATAAAGTTGCATCTTTGCTACTAGCTATAGCTTTTGGTGTAGTGATAAGTGCTTTGATCCTAACAAAGTGGTAACAGAGAGATTGAAATATGTCAAAATTTTGAACAAGATATATGGGATTATATTGGGCGGAGGCTTGTAAAGGGCCAGGTCCATCAATTGGTGGCTAGGAGGATTGTTGGGCGGAGGCCAGTGAAGGGCCAAGTCCAGCACCTGCCTCTCGAAAATGATGGTGGTCTATAAGGAAATAAAGTTGCATCTTTGCTACTAGCTATAGCTTTTGGTGTAGTGATAAGTGCTTTGATCCTAACAAAGTGGTAACAGAGAGATTGAAATATGTCAAAATTTTGAACAAGATATATGGGATTATATTGGGCGGAGGCTTGTAAAGGGCCAGGTCCATCAATTGGTGGCTAGGAGGATTGTTGGGCGGAGGCCAGTGAAGGGCCAAGTCCAGCACCTGCCTCTCGAAAATGATGGTGGTCTATAAGGAAATAAAGTTGCATCTTTGCTACTAGCTATAGCTTTTGGTGTAGTGATAAGTGCTTTGATCCTAACAAAGTGGTAACAGAGAGATTGAAATATGTCAAAATTTTGAACAAGATATATGGGATTATATTGGGCGGAGGCTTGTAAAGGGCCAGGTCCATCAATTGGTGGCTAGGAGGATTGTTGGGCGGAGGCCAGTGAAGGGCCAAGTCCAGCACCTGCCTCTCGAAAATGATGGTGGTCTATAAGGAAATAAAGTTGCATCTTTGCTACTAGCTATAGCTTTTGGTGTAGTGATAAGTGCTTTGATCCTAACAAAGTGGTAACAGAGAGATTGAAATATGTCAAAATTTTGAACAAGATATATGGGATTATATTGGGCGGAGGCTTGTAAAGGGCCAGGTCCATCAATTGGTGGCTAGGAGGATTGTTGGGCGGAGGCCAGTGAAGGGCCAAGTCCAGCACCTGCCTCTCGAAAATGATGGTGGTCTATAAGGAAATAAAGTTGCATCTTTGCTACTAGCTATAGCTTTTGGTGTAGTGATAAGTGCTTTGATCCTAACAAAGTGGTAACAGAGAGATTGAAATATGTCAAAATTTTGAACAAGATATATGGGATTATATTGGGCGGAGGCTTGTAAAGGGCCAGGTCCATCAATTGGTGGCTAGGAGGATTGTTGGGCGGAGGCCAGTGAAGGGCCAAGTCCAGCACCTGCCTCTCGAAAATGATGGTGGTCTATAAGGAAATAAAGTTGCATCTTTGCTACTAGCTATAGCTTTTGGTGTAGTGATAAGTGCTTTGATCCTAACAAAGTGGTAACAGAGAGATTGAAATATGTCAAAATTTTGAACAAGATATATGGGATTATATTGGGCGGAGGCTTGTAAAGGGCCAGGTCCATCAATTGGTGGCTAGGAGGATTGTTGGGCGGAGGCCAGTGAAGGGCCAAGTCCAGCACCTGCCTCTCGAAAATGATGGTGGTCTATAAGGAAATAAAGTTGCATCTTTGCTACTAGCTATAGCTTTTGGTGTAGTGATAAGTGCTTTGATCCTAACAAAGTGGTAACAGAGAGATTGAAATATGTCAAAATTTTGAACAAGATATATGGGATTATATTGGGCGGAGGCTTGTAAAGGGCCAGGTCCATCAATTGGTGGCTAGGAGGATTGTTGGGCGGAGGCCAGTGAAGGGCCAAGTCCAGCACCTGCCTCTCGAAAATGATGGTGGTCTATAAGGAAATAAAGTTGCATCTTTGCTACTAGCTATAGCTTTTGGTGTAGTGATAAGTGCTTTGATCCTAACAAAGTGGTAACAGAGAGATTGAAATATGTCAAAATTTTGAACAAGATATATGGGATTATATTGGGCGGAGGCTTGTAAAGGGCCAGGTCCATCAATTGGTGGCTAGGAGGATTGTTGGGCGGAGGCCAGTGAAAGGGCCAAGTCCAGCACCTGCCTCTCGAAAATGATGGTGGTCTATAAGGAAATAAAGTTGCATCTTTGCTACTAGCTATAGCTTTTGGTGTAGTGATAAGTGCTTTGATCCTAACAAAGTGGTAACAGAGAGATTGAAATATGTCAAAATTTTGAACAAGATATATGGGATTATATTGGGCGGAGGCTTGTAAAGGGCCAGGTCCATCAATTGGTGGCTAGGAGGATTGTTGGGCGGAGGCCAGTGAAGGGCCAAGTCCAGCACCTGCCTCTCGAAAATGATGGTGGTCTATCAAGGAAATAAAGTTGCATCTTTGCTACTAGCTATAGCTTTTGGTGTAGTGATAAGTGCTTTGATCCTAACAAAGTGGTAACAGAGAGATTGAAATATGTCAAAATTTTGAACAAGATATATGGGATTATATTGGGCGGAGGCTTGTAAAGGGCCAGGTCCATCAATTGGTGGCTAGGAGGATTGTTGGGCGGAGGCCAGTGAAGGGCCAAGTCCAGCACCTGCCTCTCGAAAATGATGGTGGTCTACAAGGAAATAAAGTTGCATCTTTGCTACTAGCTATAACTTTTGGTGTAGTGATAAGTGCTTTGATCCTAACAAAGTGGTAATTTTTGACATAGTGGTAAACACTTGATCCTAACAAGTGGTAACTTTTGGCATAGTGATAAGCCCTTGATCCTACCAGATTATGAAGTGGATGTGGATTACTGTTTAAGTGAAGAATTCTGAAAGGTTTTCTCTAATCACATCACTGTTACACTGTGAATGCCTATCTTAGCAGTTATGAGCTACTGATTATGGCCATTACTCCATCAGATATGTCATGTGGACTAAGACTGGTTTCCCCCACCCTTTACTCCAAGTACAAGTCACAACCTGGAAGACCAAAAAAACTAAAGAAAAGGGACAAGACTGAGAATGAGATGAGTTTAAGTTCCACCAAGTTGAGAAAGGTTGGGGAGAAAAAGAGATGTTCTGTTTGTGGCATGGCTGAGCATAATAAAACAACTTACAAGAAGACGTCTACTATGAAGGTAAATAATCAATTACATTTGTTTCAATTATTGAATATTTACTGACTTTGTTATAAATTAACTGCACTAAAATGCCAGAGGATCACAAGTTCCTCAACTGTAGCTGCAACAGCTGCAAAATCTTGAACCCAGCAGATTTAGAATCCTAATCCACAAGAATGCAGAACCATCCATAGCCAGAAGAAATGGTAAGTTTATTCAACCATATTTTATTCTTGTTGCATTTAAATTCACTAAATTACTTTCATCCATTCTAGGCCTCCCGGGTATCAACGTGTCATTGATTCACCACGGAGTACCAAATTTCCCGAGGATTTACTGCTGCTAAGAAAACTCAGCCAAAAAAAGGAGGAGCATCCGCATTAGTCACTAGTCATATGTTTATTTTGATGTTACTGTTGTGTAATTCTGAAAGGTATTTTGGCTGTTGATTAGCACTTAAATGTGCTGAAGTTGCAGGTCTTTTGAAATGGCTGTTAGGTATTTTGGCCAAGTATTTGCACTCTATTGAACTGTAATTTTTATTTTTTATTTATTTATACAATTATAATTCACAGCCAAGGTCCATCAATACAGTAAAAGGCACATGATATTCACTGTCAGAGAAATAAGCACTGGATTTTCATTAGAAACAATACACTACAGAGTACATAAGAGACTCAAGTGACGAGGGGTTCAGTGGTTCACTACCATTGAGTAATAGCTAATAACCATTCAACATATCAACTTTACCATTTCCATCAATTTCAATCTCACTAACTATACTGATCTGATGACAATTAAAGCAACAATAAAACTGAACCCAATGCCGTAGTAGAATTGCATTGAATTCCACATGCATTCTTAAAGCAGCTAGGGAAGGTGTATTCATAGTTGTAGGGTTTGGTTTCCTTGCACCCCCTTATCTATATGATGTAATTTTGTCGGATATTGCTACTTAAGCTAATGAAGTTCATTGGTTTTCAAAAAAAAAAAAAAAAAAAAAAAAAAAACTCATTAACTTTATTAGGATTATGTATTGTAGTGAATTTATTTACTTTTTATTAATCATAACCTTTGGATTGGTCAATAATAAAACTCTCTCTAGAAATTCTTGTTCTCATTTGGTATCAGTAGACCAACACAATTCATGGCAACCCCCCCCCCCCCCCCCCCCCAATAAATATTCTATAGATAGCCCATTACTTTATCTCCCTCAAACTTACGCCATCCAATTATTTATTTTGAAAAGCTCTCCAATTATTTATTCTGGAAAACTCAGCTTGTTCATTTGTTTCGCAGTATTCATTGATGGCATGTTCTTGGTGCCTGGCTTCCTTTGTTCAGGCTCTAGATGGGTGTTCCGTTGTAGTAAATCCTGTGTCCGAAAATTGGGTCTATTAGGATTCCTCTATTTTGTCCATGCTCATCTTGTCTTTGTCCCATGAAGTTATGTATGTTGTTGTGGGACATGCAATGTCCCAGGCCTACGGAAAGCTATTGAAGTTGCGTTTGGGTTCACCTCATGGGCTCGCACTCTAAGTCTCCTTAGTTAGCTGCAGCCCTTGTGCCAAGAGAATTGCACTACGAGTGAATATCTTGGCAAAGACATGGTTTTAATTGGACTATTTGCAGAAGATGACCGACCAATAGGTTTAGATGAGCAGAATCTATACCTGTTTAAAGACCTCCACCATGAGTACCGTGCGATGGTCTCTTCATTAACCACAAAAGAATCGGTGACAATTTACTAACTAAACAACTATCTCACCGCCCATCAGTTCATCTACACTGACGATATTCCTCTGCCGGCTTCCCCACAACCACCTGCAGCTCTTGTCGCTCAACAAGGACCACCTGCTACCTCACGTTCAAAACAACCTACCCGGAGACCTCATGGTTGTAGTCGTGGACATATAGGAGGCTAAGGTTGCAGTGTGGCCATAACTATGTTTTAAAGTGCCAAATCTATAACAATTTTGGTCATACTGTTTTACAATGCTATAGGAGGTATTTAGGTGCAACCGATTCTCAAGCACAAATGACTTACTCTAACGATCTAGCTACTGTACCATTATCTCAAAACTGGTTCCCAGACAGTGGTGGCACCCATCATGCTACCCCGGATCCCTCCTTGTTGCAACGAGTAGAAGAATACAAAAGGAACGACACTCTTCGAGTTGACAATGACATAGATTTGAATATTTCTAGTATTGTGCATACTTCTATATCCTCTCCTTTTGTCTACATGTCTTACGGTTACAAAATGTATTACATGTTCCTACCATAACCAACTCTCTCATATCTGTTAAATGTTTCACGACTAATAATAATGTCTTCTTTGAGTTTCACCTCTCCTTTTTTGTTGTAAAAGATCTCAACACCACCCAAATTCTACTTAAGGGAGAAAGCTCGGTGGGGGGTACAAACTTCAAATACAAAATTCAATTGCATTCATTACATCTAAAGCACCTTTAGAAGTTTGGCACAATCGCTTTGGTCACCCTCACTCAAGAGTTTTACACAATATATTGCGTCACAGTCTGGTGTCTAAATCATTAAATAACATTAATTCTCTTTGTACTGCGTGCCAACTAGGGAAAACTCATGATTTCCACTAGAAAGGGTCAATAAGTCTAGTTCTGATGTATGAAATTTGGTTTACACAGACATTTGTTGGTCATCCCTAATTCTATCTAACGAGGGTTATCATTGATTTGTCATTTTTGTTGATGATTACTCTCTGTATATCTTGTTCTTTCCCATAAAACTAAATGCACGTATTTATTCAACTTTCCATAGGTTTCAAGCATTGGTTGAGCGAACTTTCTCTTGTAAAATTAAAGTCGTTTTATTTGATCAAGGGGGAGAATACAAAAAGTTAGACAAATTCTTTGTCTAACCTAGGGATAAATTACCGTCAATCATGTGCTTAACAGCATGAACAAAATGGACGTGTAGAAAGACGCCATAGGCACATTGTCGAAACCGGTCTCACCTTGCTTGCCCAAGCTTCTGTTCCTCCTAAGTATTGGACCTATGCCTATGAAACTGCAGTTTTTCTTATTAATTGTATGCCCGCTGCCACCCTAACCAATATGAGTCCTATGCTCTTGTTAACAAAGAAAATTCTGACTATTCATTTCTTTGTGTCTTTGGTTGCCTATTTTTCTTTATCTTCATCCCTATAACAAGCACAAAATAGAGTTTCGATCTACCCCACCTATCTTTCTTGGTTACCCAGAGTTGTCTTGAGGATATCGTTGTTTGAATCTCAATACTGAAAAGATTTTTATTGTATGTCATATATGATTTGATGAGAATCTTTTCCTTTTTGCAGCAAATACTTCTCCATAGGTTCTTATTCGTGTCCGAGATGCATTATAGTGGGCTATTGTTAGCATCCCAAACAGACCACACTGCCAGCAAAACACATGGTCGTGTCACCCCGTGTCATAGCCGCGTCACCTAGACATAAAAGGACACGACTATGACACCCCCTAGACACGACTGTGTCGACGCCACCCCCAATCCCACGTTGAAATTCACACTCGAGTATCCACTAGACGTTCCTTCAAAACCCCCATGACGCCAACTACCAGCTCCGGCTCAATGAACACATCCTATGGTACTTCATCACATATTCACATGACTCGTGGCTCTACAGGTAACAAAGTTTTGATTGCATGTGTAGAAGATTCCAAGCCCACCTACTAGTCTCAAGCCGTGAAGAGCTTTGAATGGCAAACAACAATAGACAAATAATTCAGCGTTCTACTACACAACAACACTTGGAAACTAGCTCCAAATGAATAAGATATGAACGTTATTGACCGCACGAGCTTAGTTCAATGGTTTAGTAGGCAGTATTTGGGATAAGAGACCAAAGTTTGAAACTCGCCAGCAGTAGTGTTGGGATTATAGGTATTGTGATTTACCCCCTCTCACATGCTCTGTCGGGCCGGGACGTGGGCCCTATGAATGTTATTGGATGAAAATGAGTGTTTCGAATCAAGAGAAAAGTTGATGAGACAATTGAACAATACAAAGCCAGACTTGTTGCAAAAGGATTCAATCAGGTTGAAGAAGAAGATTATTTTGATACTTTCAATTCGATGATCAAACCAACCACATTAAGACTTCTCTTATCTCCTACTATAAAAAAAAAGATTGGTCTATTAGACAACTTGATGTTCACAATGTCTTCCTCAATGGTTGTCTAAGTGAGAATGTTTATATGAAACAACCACCAGGGTATATTGACAACAATTTTCTTGTTTGCAAACTACAAAAGTCTCTTTATGGTTTCCCTCACACGAAATGCAGGAGCAATGGTGTTGTATTCATCCCCAAGTTGCATAATGATATGAACGGTGAGATCTTCATAAGAGATAGGGCTTTGCACAAGAGCTAGGTCATCTACAACGACACACATCACACAAATATTCAAAAACGGCTCTTTAACCTTTTGGATTCTTCGTAAGCTTTGCTTTGACTGAAACAACTCGGCCGCGAGATGTGGAAGCACAACTTAATGCTAACCTATTCCATGCATCCCGAGCAGTGGACACAAAGGGTATTAGCGATTGAAGAGTATCTGAATAGTTCTCCAAAATGGCACTAACTAGAATTTGATCTTGCTTGAACCAACTAGTGTGTGATGGATTAATATTTGTACGAGCAACATCAAGATATTGAGTTAGAGTTGGTGTCGTACCGTCAATATATCCTACAAGATTATGTTCAACTAGCATGGATTCAATTTGCCATATCCAAACTAAAAAATTGGAGGTAGTCAACTTTATGTGAAAATGAGTTGGTGCATTGAGATGGACAATGATGGAGGTATCATAGCCATGTTATAGACTGGGGAAAAATTTTTCCATTAGATTTTAGCTCTTGATACCATGAAGGAAATTATAAACAATGTGTATTAACAACGGAAAGAATACAAGGTATAAGTAGTATGTGATGGCATTATTGAAACCGGATCCACCATAAACCGGATACAAAATAGAAACAGGAACAGGAAGATCACAATTTTATTACGGGGGGCATGAGGGCTAGTAAATATACACAGAAAATCCCGATGGACGAAGCCCAAGAGTAGCGGCCCAACAGAATAAAATAAATAAACTAAATAACTTGAACTAGAAACTAATAAATAAATAATACCCTTGGAAGAATTGAACTTTAACTACCCCATTGAAGGAGGAAGACTCAGACCACCAGGCTACAGTAATCCTTGTGTCTCTGTCTGATGTCCTAAACAGACCACAACCCCTCCCCCCCCCCCCCCCCCCCCCTTTTACATTGCCACAGGATCCCCCAAGCCGTCCGCGTGTACGACATCCTGCATACATCCACCTCCACCACCCACGTGTCCCATCCCCCCTTGAGCATATGCGAACTGCCTCTCCCCCCTGTGCGCACCAAGCCCTGCATTCGTCGCCATGTAATCCAAACACCGCGCAACACTCAGCGTGTCGCATGCTAGTCGCCACATCGCACGTTAATCCCATGCACACCGCACGCCGCCTCGACCCCCTTGCACGTCTACCATGCACGTCCGCCTCCATGCCATCCGTAACCCGCCATGTATGTCGCCGCCACGCCATCCATATCCCACCATGTATGCCGCCAGCCATGCACACGCCACCTCGACCATCCTACGCGTCTGCCATGCACACGCCCAGGCCTAAACCCTCCTTTCTTCTTGAACCCCCTCCTAAATACCATCCACAGCCAAGTGGGCCAAGTCCAACCCCCAATATCCCATCAGTATGATATATCAACATATATAGGAAGTAGCTATAACAACTAAATGACATTCTACAGCACCAAAAGATAACCACTGCAATAGAAGATACAGTCATTGTACATGCTGCAAAAATTGTACATACCAATTAATTTCTTGTCATTATAGGATCCTTTTTCTTTCAAGGATGAAAAAGATTTCAACTTATACAAACCTGAGAAAATTTCCATTCTTGTACTCCTTGACAATAGTTTAATTTGATGATTAAATTTGATCATATATCAATGAGAACTTGTCTCGTATGTGTAAAAGTTTGTAATAACCAAAAAAAAATTCACACCGTACATCTTTCCTTCCTTAAACCTTGTCAGAAACTTCTCAACATACTCTTTTGATAGGTGAGAATGAACAACAAGTCCATGTATATATAAAGAATTTAATGTAGATGCTACTTTTTGTAATTGAAAATTCATGTACAGAATAAGCTTAAAAAATACCTTTGAATCATGGAAGACAATTTCTTTGCATTTTATGACATCGCTCCCTCTTCTTTTAGGAACCTCGTATGTATGAACAACGCGAACCTTTATTGCACTCCTAGTATTTGAAGGTGAAATCTCTCAAGTAAGATTGTAGTGTAAATACATTCTAATATGAGATTGAATATCGAACTATGACTATGATCTTATACCATGGGTATTTGGGTTTGAAAGCTATACAAGTATTTATAAGAACACATTTCTCTTTCTTGGAAACGATTGTGTCGATTCGTTAATCAACATATATTTAAGCAACATGTTATATTGTAGGCAAATTTATTTTGTATGAACATGGATACATTGGAAATGCAAAGCCGATATCTTCAAACCAAGAATGAAAAACATTTGTCACAATGGTGGAGATTGGAAGGTGAGATTCTCTCCAAATGGCTCTTGCAAAATCACATAACACCAAAGAATGCATGGTGTCCTCATGCATGATCCCACTCATGGCACAAAGGGGATCAACATCTACGCTCTTTATAAGCAATTTTTTAGTAATAGGGAGGATATCACTCAAAGGTCTCCATTTCAATTATATTAAAACCTTTAATGCAATTTTAAGGTTAGATAATGTTTAATTTTTGTAAAAAGTGTGCCATATTAAAGAGTTTAGTGCTAAACTTTGTATATAAAATTACAACATGACATCATTTTTAAAAATAAAAAACATAAACTATATATCAAAATATCTACTTTATACAACTAAAAATTTAAAATGAAACTTAAAAAAAATATCATTTTACATATATACAAGAATGTTTAAATATTATAGTTAACCATTGATAACAAAATACTAAATTACTTTTAAAGTTAGATATTATAATTCGATATATATATATATATATATATATATATATATATATATATATATATATATATATATATATATATATATATATATATATATAATTATCACAAAATACAAACCATTGAATTTTTTCACAAAATTTTTTAAATTTAAATAAAATTATGACTAGATATAAATATTCAAAATTTTAAATCTATAAGCCTATTAATTAATTGTTATAGAGTGACATTTTTACCTTCTTGATTTACGTCAATTAAAGTAAGACACGTTAACAAGTGAGAATTCCGTCTAGTGTGAACTGTGAAGCATTTTCCTACCTCAAACAACGTTATAATAATAATATTAGAAAACTAGAAACCAAACATTATGATTTAATGCGCAAATATAATATTGAAAAAAAATTATACTTTTAATCTCTAAGTTATAGAGTAATTATAAAATTCATCCCTAAGTATTAGTTGTGTTTGTTTTTCGCCTCTAAGTTATTATTAACGTTGCACTTTTCGCCATTTTATTAAATTGTCGTGCTCATATTTCGTCTCTAAATTATACTAATTTTGCAAATTACGTTCTTAATGTTTTGTTAGTAAATAGATAAAAATGCATCGTCAATGATAACTTAGAGATAAAAATAAATATGACCCACAATTAGAGACAGAATGTTATAATTATTGTGTAATTTTGGAATGAAAAGTGTAATTTATTTATGTAATATTCGTAAAAGTGGGTTCATGATTGATGAAGCACTTTTGTCCTTATCTAATGGTTGGTATATACTATATATATATATACACACATATATGTCGTCTCTGTTTCCATACAACCAAAAAAACGAACATAATATTGTAAGTTGTAACGTCTTCCCATATTTGAGAGGAAACGTAACGATGTGCTCCCTCCCGTTAGATATAACGGTGGTCTCCGCCGACGCCATAAAGGACGTTAACACCTTCACGAAAATGGACGTGTTCGTCGTAGTTTCCGTCATCATCGGCTACCAAAATACTAGAAACATCACCCCCGTCCACAAGAACGCCGGCACGTCTCCGAGATGGAATCACCACATGAGATTCGTCGTCGACGAGGCCACCGTCAACAACCCCGGCGCCGGGTTCCTCCATTTCCAGCTCGTATCTGAGCGGACCTTCGGGAATAAGGACATCGGGGTGGTCAGAGTCCCCGTCGACGATCTGTTTGCCAAATGGTCCAAGGATTCCGACGGCGCCGGGAGGGTGATGGAATTTGAGGTGATTACCGCTCGGACGGAGAAGAAGAAGGGGACGCTGAAATTTTCGTACAAATTTGGGGAGAAGTTTACGCAGGGTGAGAATTACGGGGTGGGGCAATTTGCGGCGGCGTATCCTCCGCCGGAAGCGGCCAGGGCGGGGTCCAGTGTGCCATACGCGCCACCTCCCGGTATGGGATACGACGCGCCACCGGGAGCGGCGGGAGGGTACCCAGCGGCGGGATATGGTGGGTATTCCCAAATGGGGCCGGGGGTGGCTTGCCCACCGCAACCTGGGTACGGATATCCGCCGCCGCCGACTCATGGGTACGGTTATCCGCCACCTCCCGGCGCCGGGTACGGCGGATATCAACCCGTGCAGCAGCAGGAGGCGCCTAAAAAGAGCAAGTTTGGATTGGGAGGCGCGGCGGGGCTAGGGTTGGGAGCAGGGCTACTAGGAGGATTGGTGGTCGGAGATATGATGTCCAACGCCGGAGAAATGGCGGCCTACGACGAAGGCTACTCGGAGGGGGTTGGGGATATGGGCGGCTATGATTTCTAAAACCTTTAATTTGCTATTTTAACTTCTATAATTTGTTATATTTCTATTATTATTTATATTTTATTTATGATATAGGTTATATTTGAAGAATCTTGAGAACACTTTTACTACATTATTATTACCGCGTCTGAATTGAATCATGAACGAAGGAACAAGCATCCAACATTTTTGGTTGCTTCTATTGTACTCCCATGTTTTTTTTTTTAGTTGTGTGAATTGTAACTCAAAATGAATGGACTAATCCAATAAAATTGAAAGATTTTAAAATTAGAATTGAAAAATTTTAGTTTGATAAGTCTGAAATTGATATATTTGATGATCAAAATTGAATAGCTAGCTAGTTTAAATTTAGTGGGTTACTCGTTCTCCGAGTTTATTAAGATTCTATACCAATTGTTATATGAGTTCTACTTCATAGACTCCCAAAATTCTACTCCCTTATTTATACTCCTTGAAGTGGCAAACCAGGATTGGTTATTTTCATCATGTGGGTCCACTGAAAAATGTCTACATCAAAAGCATGTGAGAGGGAGTACAAGTTGGGAGTTTAAAATGGGAGTATATTTTCCTTGTTATATTATGAATCAACGCCTACCTTACATTATGGACAAAAAAATCAACATATTATGTGTATTCAATTAATAAATTATATGTCTGTAGTTAAATGAAATATATATAGACCATGTTTGGTAAATGGCTGTTAGCTGTTAGTTGATTGAATTAATTAGAAGGTATAACTAGTTGATAACATTAGTTGATTGTAAAAGGGTGTTTGATAAATTAGTTGTTAGCTGATAGCTGTTTGGTATAATTTCCGTTATTAAAAAGCTAATTGAAAAAATTACTTTGAACAGTTTTTTTAATTTTAGCATTTTGAAGTTACAAAAGCTAATTAACCAAACACTTATATTGATTTTTTAACCAAATCAAAAAGCTAATGGTAATCAAATAAACCAAAATTTACATATAAGTTAATTATTTTACCAAACTGAGCCATAATCTCTTATCTCTTATCCTCTATTATATAACGTTTTTGGGTAAATAAATAGCTAATTGTTTTTCCACCCAACAACTTTGTGCATTATTATAGGATTCAAAGCGCGATGGTTTTGCTTAGGAAGGAAACCTTACGTTATATATGGTATCGCCTTTTCTTTTTTTTTTGAATGCCAACAACTTCTCCATTTCAATCAAAGCAAAATTTTTTTGTTGAGATTCATTTAGACTTAAATCTACAATATAAGAAGAAAAAACCGTAAGATGTAATGCTTTAAAGAATGGATATGAATAATTAATAATATAACAATAAATGTTACCTGGGACTGAGAGGTTCCTTCTACAAATATATTGAGCATCATCTGATAAGTATTGCCAAACCATCTCCCAAACATTTTCTGGCTTGGACATTGAATTGGATGTCAGAAGTGTAACAAACAACTTACGTAGAGAATGGGGTAAAGACCAAGATGCTGCCTCAGTGATTGCATCAACATACTCTTTATCATCTTCGATTAATTCGCGTGCATAACATGCATCTCTAAATGAATTGTATTGAACACCATCTACTTGTTTAATCTCATCAAATGAAGTCGGTCCACGAACTATATTAAGTAAACATCTAAGATAAAAAATCTCACCAGTATTTGGTGGCACATAAAAGATTCGACCAATTGCCCAATTTCTCTGCCTAGGTTGCCATTCTCTTTTATCATTTTTCCAAACAAATTTGGTTGGCATCTGTGAGTAAGTCAACTGCCTCCCTGCAGCGTACTTTTTATTAGCCTCAAACCAAGCAGTAAACATGCTTTGAGCTACTGTCGGTCTATTTACAACATCATTGACCAAATCGTCGTCATGAAATATTATTGATTGCTCATTGGGGAGATGAAAACTCAACCGCTCAACCGATGGATTCCTGAATTGTATGTCAAACGCAAAAATCCTCCACGCGGCCTCAGGGGGTGAAATATATCTACAGTCATAGTACATCTTGATTTCATCTATAATCTTTCCAGTAGATTCTTCCACCCCACTGTTGTAGAATTCAGCCGTGACCCTATCATTACCCTTGTTGACGTACTTGAATAAGTACTTTATTGACCTAGATTGGTTGCACCACTCCACATTAATATGAGCCCTGTACTTCATAAGCAAATGTCGATTGTGTGGAACAACATATCTACTATCAAGGTCAATCCCATTCCTCCGAACTGTACGACCATTATCTCTACGCCGATATATTGGATATCCATCAAAATCCACTGTTGAGTTTTCCACAAATTTTTTGGGGAAGAATTTAGAACACATACCTTTTATCATGCAAGGTGAATTCTTCCTAACTGCACCACATGGACCGTGAATCATAAAATCTGCTACAGCTTGATAATACTCGGGTTCGCACAGTGGGCTTGGAATCTCGGCAGATATGATCCGGTCAATATCTTTAGGATTAGGGTAAGGGTTACTCTTGCTCAAGAATATCAGAATGTGAGCATGTGGCAGTCCCCTTTTTTGAAATTCAATGGTGTAAATTACTGCAAGAAACAAACAATATGCACATGGATCTTTAAAATCGTTGAAAATTTTAAAAGATATGTAACAACCAAAAATAATCAAATATATTGATGAAATGACATAAATTACCTGCATCTACCACTCCAAAAATTTTCTCTTTCTGAATGTCTTTAATTAGTGCATTTAATTTCAGTTTAAACACACGGCATACTATATCCGGCCTATCTTCAGCTTTGAGTTTCCTTGGTTGTAAAAATTTTTCAATCTCTGGCCACTTAGGATTACATGTGAATGTAATAAATAGAATTGGATAACCGATCCATCTACAAATAGCCATTGCATCTTGGTAATTCTGCATCATATATCTTGCCCCTCCGGTAAAACTCGATGGCAAAATTATGCGTTTTCCTTGGGCAGTAGGATCTACTTCGCCACGTGTTAACGCATCTGTCAAACATTTGTATGATTCACATCGAAGTGACTTTTGATGAGACCTAATATAAACCAAGCGTCCTGATTCTACCATGGTATAAGCATCAACCAAATATTGTTGGAACAACCGCCTAGCATAAAGCAAAGTTGACATTTCATTGAACCTATCTTGCAAACGGAATGAGAAATACTCCCTGGGACTAAGTTTACTCCTTGCATTTGAACTCCTGCCTTCAAGAGTAGTAAATTGTATGTCGTCTCTGTATCCGTCTTCACCATAAGGAAAGAATAATGGGTACTGCAGTGGGAGATATGCCGGATTTAATTCAGTTATTCTTTGAAAATGTCCAGCTTTGGACTCCACCAATATATCTCTTTCTCCCATGTTTGGGTCTAAATCACCAACAATCAATGCAGCCACCTCCCCCACCTGCGGCAAGTTATATGTCCTTGCATCCTTGGTCCTCTTACCGATGAGTTTGATTTTAATATCAGCTCTATGGTTACTTTCCATCTCTGTTTTGGCCATTCTAAAACTCTGAACCAAAACATTATTTTCATCCAGTGCATCTTTAATGTCTTTAACAATTTCACGATGGATTGTAATGTTTGACTCATCTTCCCTGTTTGGAATATAAAAACCCATACAATTTTATAATGTATATTGTTACAAAAATGATGTTAATCTATTTAAAATAAATAAACGTACATAACTTACCCAAGTGCCGTTATACGATTTGTGATCTCGTTTTGAGTGTCATAAATATACAATTGAGCAAACTTTGGTCTCTCGCCAGATTGTGGGAGCAAACTACCCATCAAGTGAAAATTTTGACCATGTAACCTAAAAGTCGGTGGTGCACTACCATTGTTGACTGTTCTGTCAATTTTTCCATCCATGGAAGTAAAGCAAAACATATTGTTAAAGCACCGAATGTTCTTTAGGAAATGGTTACTCTTTTGATCTTGGTTAAAGAACAACTGCCTGATTGCCATGGGTGGAATATTAGAATGCGGCAACTTTATCTTTCCATGACCGCAACATAGTGAATATTTGGGATTCCGAACACCGCTAGATTTATTTACTCGCTCCTCTAACCAAAACATAGCTCCACAATGATTGCATGAGTACGTTTGATCACCAATATCGCTGTAATAATCTAGAAGAAACCAAATGTTATTACTCTTACCTAAAAAAAAATAATAAAGGTTATTACTCGTACCTATACTCACCATTAACATTTGCCGAGTTTGACGGTGTATCATGGACCACACTATCAAAAGCGGACAACAAATTAAATTGCATTGACGCCTTTGGTGTTGAGCTATTGTCATCCACAACGCACGATCTTGTTGTTCCAACTATAAGATGATAAAAAACGTTATTATTCATAAACTAAACACTATACATTTATATTTTTAAAAAGGATTTACTTAATTGCGCAACTTTACCATTTGTTAGATTTGACAAAGGCCCTCGCCTTTCGTTGGACACCATAGGGGTAGTTTCGAGCATGTTAGATTGCAATGTCATTGATTGAGTCATATTTTGTAAAACTATTAGGAAAAAAAAATCAATTTTAATGGACCAAAAAAAAATCCAAAAATAATATAGTAATTATATATAGATATATAATTTATAATAGAAATTTGACTATTAATACCTCCACTTTGTCCACCCAAAAAACGGCTATTATTAACATGTGTAATCTTCTCTCTATCACTTGCCAATTGTAGTGCAATTGAACACTCTAAACAAAGAATTTCAAAAAATCTAACATTAATCTCTATAATATAAACAAATAAAATAAAATTTATTATACCATATTACCGACAATATTGATTAAAATAAGAGGACTAACCATCCATCACAGTTACTTTTGGTGTGTTGAATGTTGCATTTTCTGTACAATTAGATAATAAAATAAAGAATTACTAATAAATCTTACGAAAGAATACAATGGTGTTGTATGTACTAATAAAAGACAATAAATCTATATTGCACCATATAGATTATCACATTAAATAAACAAATTTACCCCAAAAAAAAAATGCTATATATGTAACATTCCTAAATTAAAATACAATAAACACCACACCAAAGGTTCCTATATAAATAAGCGTATGTATAATTATGGCTGATTAACCATCAGTAACCATAACATCTCATACCATTGTATACGTTTAAATGTTGTGTAGAAAGACCCCCACACCGTGTCCCAATAAAACGCCTCTTATTTTGAGATGTTTCAGTAACAAATGTAAGCTGAGATCTATCATTTGACACTTCGACTGCCATTGAGCACTCTAAGCAAAAAAAAAAAGTACAAAAAGCTAACATTAATATCCCTATAATATAATATGAATATCACAAATAAATGTACTATAAAATAATACCTATATTGCAATTAGAAATAAAGGAATTACCAGCAATCGTAGTTCGTTTCGGTGTGTTGAACGTTCCACTTTCCGTACACTCATTTTCTATCATGAAAAAATAAAGATTTTATAACCAATAAGATAAATAAGCATGAATATAATTTATGATTTTGAATTAAATAATACAACGATTACATAAAATTAACAATGCGACTGAACAAACATTAAAACATATATGTTGTTCCAAAATTGAAATACAATATATGAATCATAATAAACACCAAATATAATACTAATTTAACAAAAATGAATAAAATAACCATATTAAGATAATTTATTCCACCATATATATAGTAGCTACTAATAATAGATAGGCATACCATATATTATACACATATATATACATGTTATCTACTGCGCATTTTATATATATATATATATATATATATATATATATATATATATATATATATATATATATATGTGTGTGTGTGTGTGTGTGTGTGTGTGTGTGTGTGTGTGTGTGTGTGTGTGTGTGTGTTTATTTATTTATTTATTTAATAAAAAAAATATAAAGGAGTGTCCAGAAGTGAGACTTCTGGACACAACCCGATCCTAATTCACACTTGTCTACTTCCCTCTTCTCCCTACGATTTCTCACTCTGTCTATCTCTCTCTATCGCTCTCAATCTATCTCTGTAATCCAGACGTCTTAAGCGTTAATGGCGTCTGAATTTTGTATCGGCCATTATACACAAAAGACATTCTTGATCCAATCGCAGACTATACTGCGATTTGCTTCGAGAGATAGATAGAAGAGGCCGATTTTAGGGAAACCCTAAATATGTGTTTGGGGTTTTAAATGCTCTTTTATTTGAAGGAAGATCTACTGAGATGGTTGTTTGTTTGTACGGATACACTCAAGGTGAACACTCAAGGTGGTTACTTGTAAGACTGTAAGGTACTCATTCTTACTTAATCTCTCTATCCTTGCTAAAATGTATATTTGTATAATTAGGGTTTGAACCTGACTAATTTAGCGACCGAGTGTTGTATGTTGCACTTGATTTATATTGATTTGCATTTTCTAACGTTAAGCTTTCCTATATTTACCCAGAAAATTGTTTTTTTGAATATGGGGATACTCTAGTGTTATCCTTGCGCTCCTATGAAAATTTATGCTTTTTAAACAGAAATGATTTGTAAAAAATGTTTATACAGTTGATAATTGCAAGAAAGAAAAAAATCAAATTTCATAGGAGAAGGTTTATAGACAGAAAATAAGAAAGACGCAAAAGCTATGAGAATAGTAGAAGTTAAGATAAATGTTCAATGTACCTTTGTTTGAAATTGTGTCCTTCCTTTTGGACCCAATGACAGTTGATTTAGTTAACTTCCTCATTTGCTTGATCTGCTCAATGTTTGGAAAGTGTTTCTCTGTAAGTAGTGTGTTTAGTTGAGAATGAATTGTGTACTCTCCATTTAAATGTGATTATCTGATTGTAACTGAGTTTAAAACATAAAAGCCCAATGAAATTCCCTAGAATTTTGCTGGAATTCATTAATGATTACTTCTTTTTGGGAAGCAGAAAAGACACACCTTGAAAAGGTAGTATTTATTCCCATTCTTTATCCTGGCATATGTTGGTGTCAAAACAGTTATTATGGTTTCTAGCTTTACAACATTACTGATTAAATTTAATTTTGATGTCAACAGTCACCTAATTAGTATATGTGTATTTTGTTTCAAAATTTTAGATCCAGTACTGTTTTTTATTACCAGTTTGATATGTTTATTATTTTCTGTTTTTGAAAATAGTTCACAATTCTGTTTGTCTTAATTTATTCAGATTCTAACATTTGTTTTCAAGGAAATGGCACATGATGATAATAATTTCTGATGCCATTACATTTCAGAGTTACGATATACCATATTACTATATTTGAAGTTTAATTTAAGGTGATCTATTGCATTCCACTCAGGGCAAATACAACAAAGGAAGGCGTCATGTTATACTTACTTACCTGGCGCACCGAGTCTTCAAGATTTCACAACTTGACTATAGATTTATTTATAAAGTACAATCCTATTTTGATTGTTTACTATGTTTGTCTGAATATACAAAATCAAAATCATTGTTTTTGTTTGAAATTGTATGTTCTAAGACTTTGTTTAGACTTAAGTATTTACTACTTGACTGTTTTGATTGGGAGAAATGTTTTGATAAATGAATGTTTGATTTGGAATTTTGTTGTAGTCCTTATTTGGAAGAAACATTATGGCTTTAATATAGAGAGAGAATAGGCATACGAAAGTATATTTGTATTAATTACATACTTTGCTGATTTTGATTGAGAAGAAGCCATTTTTTAGCTATTAAAAGTACTTGACTATTAAGCTGTTTTCCATGACTATTAAAAGTACTTGAATATAGATTTTATTTAAAAGTACATGACTATTTTGATTGTTTACTATGTTTTTCTCAATATACTTGGACTTTAATTTAAGTTGTAGTCCGTTATTGAAATATTTATTACATTTATTCATAGAGAAGAACCTATTTTTTAGTTCTTAAAAGTACTTGACTATTAAGCTGTAGTCCTTTATTGAAAGTACTTGACTATTAAGCTGTTTTTTAGATATTTAAACTACTTAATGTTTATATATGATTAAGCCATGATATTTCAATTTGATATTCTTTATGTTTTGTATGATATTCTTGATTTGGTTAAATTTCAAATGTTTATTGACTTTGTATATGATCTATAAAGTAGTTTAGTATTTTAGAATGTCATGAAAAGAGTGTGAAGCCAAGTTCAGATGTTGACAAAACTGAACTCATGATAAAAAAAAAAAAAAGAACACAGCCAAAAAGGTGCCATTGAAGTAAAATAGGTGAGAAATGAAACAAATGATAATCATAGCTTTATTGTTCATTTAAAAAACTTCAACAGTTGGATCAAAATACATAATGCAACTGATGAATGAACAAATTCCTCTATTTCAGGTGTATTTGAAGTTCAAGGCCAAAACAATAAAGATACTATGCCTCACAGATAAGTCATTTTAAATTTCAGCCACTCATGTTTCTTGCAAATCTATTTCTTGTGCCTGCCACTTGATATCTGCTTGTTCATACCTGCAATGAGTTAGGAAATAGACAAACCACAGCATAAAAACATATAAAAACCATTGATAATGCACTGTAAAAGAAAGCACTAATAGACAGTGCATAGTATCCTTGTCAAAACATCAACAATCAAACATAATATGTACTCAGTAGTACATATTATCAAAATCCATATTACAAAAACAAATGAGCACCCAAGTCACCAGTATCATATTGTCCATCATTGAACCACAAAACACAAACTTAATTTTACTCCTGTTTAACCAAAACAGCTTTTGCTTTCTTAACATCTCTACTTGATAAAAACTGATCAAGTAGATTCCTTTTTGATGACACTGCTTCCAATGGTTCATCTTGTTCATCCAGCTTTTGCTTCTTAGCTTGAATAGGATTGGGACTGGTTGCCTCATCACCCGATTCAGACTCCTGTTACAAATAAGAAAAAAAAAATTAGTTTTACCATGAAGTAGTTAGTTTATTGAATCAAGTGACCATTAGTTAAATACTTACATCAGACTCGACTTCTGGTTCTTCTTCATTTAACATCCTTGATAGCTGATCTTGTTCATCACTTAAACAGGGACAGTAGTGATCAATTAAATCTTCATCCTGTGCTATTCCAACCACAGGTATCGCTATTGCTCGGTTCCTGAAGTGATCACTCTTAGCAGAAATCTTGAAGACCATAGCCTTATTACGGACTTCTTCCATACCGGTTGGCAGAGGAGACCCATCCTGAAAAAAAACAAAAGTGTTTAGACAGCTTTCAAAGGTTAGAAAAGTATTTCATAAAAAAAAAACATTTAGAAAAATGTCTAGTAGTCCTTTTTTGACTCAAGGTTTAATAAAATACCACTGAGTATTTGCTCCTTAGGTCGAATGCAGTCTTTCCAATTATCTCGCAGCCCTCCTTGTCCCACAACAGAAAAGGAGCATCTGTGGTCTTATCACCTACCCTCACAGTGAGCCTGTACCTTAAGTTTCCCTCTTGCCAGCTTGTGGCACATTTTAGGCATTGCAAAGCCCCATTCTTCAAGTGCAATTTCCTAAAGCATCCCTCACTTCTACATGAATGGTAAAACCAATTGGTAGTACTCTCCACAGCAACAATCCTTCCAGGAACCCAGTAGTAGCCCTCCTGGTGGTTCAAATTAAATAAAATTGTTAAGCTAGGATTAAAAAAATGAAAATAGAATGTTAAGGTTAAAGTAAGTTACAATGTACCTCGGCTCTTTCATAAAGATCCTCAATTGTAGTTACTTTAATAGGAGTTTTTGAATTCTCAGCAGCATTGCCATGAGACATGTGAGACACAGTCTGTACACTTAGAGGTGGCCTGGTATCAACTTTCAAACTGCAAGGTAAAGAATTAAGATTAATTCATCATTGATCTAGGAAAGGTGATTAGAAATACAAATTATTTGGAATTACCTGTCTTTAAATTCCTGGAATTCCTTGCAAGGGTGATTAAACCATAGTTGTGTAGCGTTGTATGAGCTTGAAATCCTGAATTCATCTACATATTACAAACACAAATTTGATTAGAAATAATCAATATAGATGTTAAAGAATATCTTATCATGAACTTACTATCCACTTTCTTTGCTCGACAGAGTTGGAGTAAAACAATCAAAGGACCTTCCACATGAGTCTTGAAATAATGCATGGTTGTATCCACATGTTGATCCCAGACAGTACACTTCAGACGATTGCCCCTAAAAATTAGTAAAACAGATTGTAAGTAGATAGAATATATTCTACTGATTAACTTTATATTGAGTTGATTGTTTAATGCTTTTTTATTATATAACAGTTCATTAAATGCAGGTGAAACTGAACTATAAGTCTGAGTGATATATAAAGAAGTCTGTAAGCAGTATAGTCAGAAAATGACCAAGATAAGTATTTTTGAATAATATATGTTTTAGCTTAATCACTTCATATGCACAGTTTACTTTAGCATGATTTACTTTATTTGAGATACAGGATGTACATTTATATTGAGTTGGTTGTTGAAAATAGTTTGAGATGGGCAAAAATATACAGTGGGAGATCAGAACCTTGGGTTCATTAAAGGGATAATACAGATATGTAAGAGGTAAGCTAAAGCTAATTGCTTGTAAATTAAAGCTCAATGATTACCAGTTGAATTAGTTCCTTATTTGAGTTTTAAATTTTATTTGAATCTGCTTAATAGGCAATTTCCGATTTAATCACAGCTTGAATACATAATAGCATGATGTGAGATTGGCACAACTATACAGTGGTTGGAGTTTGGCAGAAATATATCTTGAGAGAGCAGAAAATTGGGTTCAATCAGTCCCAATCCTAATAACAATATGTAAGAGCTAAGTTAAATATAGTTTATTGAAACTTCAATTATTTACTGATTTCAGTTTTAAAATTTAATTGAAACTAATTAATAGCAGATTTCTTATCTCACCACAGATTGAATACATAAAAATGGATTGAGATTCGCACAACTATACAGTGGCAGCTCAGAAACTTGAATTCATCAAGTAATGTTACACATATGCAATAGGTAAGTGAAAGCTTATTGATAGAAAGTTTTAAGGTCTATGTTTACTGTATTGGTGACAAAAATATTTAACACACATGTCCATTTTCTAAGCATATTAGAATTAGGAAAAAAACTGTAAATCTTATGCAGTTTTATATGGAAATAAACTTAGAAAAGTAAGCATACTTACTGACCATCTTCTATGAGAAAATCCACCAATTTGGAGGGAAATCCAGCTATAAGAATCTCTTTGGGAGTGTAGTACTTCACCACTCTACCAATCACATCTAAAATGTGAATAGAACAAAACAAATTAAAATTAAAACATAGGATATAGGATATATAATATAGAGAAAAGAGCAATTAGAAATCATACCAATGAGATGCTTTTCAGATACATTGCCACTCATTAAGTCAATATAAGACTTAAGCCGAAACATTAGTAAGGGAAACCCCTTGCGCCTGTGCCTCTCAACAGTAGTCTCATGACTAAATCTGATCATATAGCTATGATCAGTAGTTTTGTATTGGTAGTAGTGGGATATAACTGCAAAATCTTTGATGGCATAAACCTTCCCTTCTTTCAAAAGTTTAGAATACTTTTCAACACACTCTTTAGGGATGTTTCCATGAATGTATGTACCCTATCAACAAAGAACATATATATTGACTGTAAAATTTTACATTTTTTGCAGGCAGTTGAAATCGAAAGAGAACTTACCTCAGAATCATGAAAGACACATTCCTGGCTCTTGATGCTATCCGAACTGTTGCGACCTTCGGGTACCGTATAGGTACGAATCAACCGTAGCCTGATAGCTTTTTTGTAAGTAGAAAATTTGATGTCTTTGCCTAGAATAAAAACAGGAGCCATTGCAGGTTTCGGCCAGAATTTTGAAAGCAATGAAGAAAAAGATGAATGGCCAAGTTAGACTGAAGAAAATAACAATGGTAGAAAACGCAAGAGAACAATGGTAGAAAGCAAACAACTAAATACCAAGGTTTTATAGAAGGTGGTAGAGAAGTTTCAAATGAGCCGTGATCTCTCGGTTGCCTCCTAAATGAGACTGCACATTGGAAGAACAAACGACACTTGGGAAAATGCAATTACCCTTCATATATATATCCTGTATCCGTTATATGTAGATCATCATTGTATGTATTTGTATTTGTATCGTATTGTATTTCTTCTATTATTTATTTGTTTATAATGGTTGGAATTTAATTGTTGGCCGCCGCATTAATATAAAATGCGACTGACCACATTCCAAGATAATTGGGACTTTAAAAAATTGATTGTAATCATATATTTATAGATATTTATTGATATAGATTACTTATTCTTCAATTAAGATACAAACTGAAATGATTTTTTGTATTCTTTATTTTTTTATTTTTTTTTCTGATACCGAGATTCAACCAAAACGACGTAGTATAGTTTGAGCGGGAAAATGGAGCCATTTCATTGGCCGAAATCTTATGGCTTTAATATATAGAGAGATTATATTATTATTAGTATTCGTCTTGTAATAGATTTACTATTCTCTGCTAGATATACTCTTGTACAGACTCGTTTATTCCATTATTCAGAAATATCGTATCCTCATCTGGTATCAGCAGGTTTTTTGATCTCTCTTCATGTCGTGTCTCGGTACTGATAACGGTTCTGTTGGTAGCTCCGAACGGACTGTTCCGAGGTTGCTCTTGTCGCAAGGATGAAGGACCGACTCAGCATGTTGTACTTATGGCAGTTCCTGAGCCGACATGTTATTCTCAGGCGCTTCAGTATCCGGAATGGCGTGAGGCCATGGATCTTGAGTTCAATGTCTTGCTCCAGAATAACACTTTATAATTGTTACCTTTTTAATATATGAGTTTTTAGTAAAATGGCAGTTCCAATTCTTCTATTAATGATTTTAGGTGAAAGTGTCAAATAGCCTCATCTATTATCAATGACGATTTAATTTATACCTTGGACTAAAATAAGATTTAAATAATTTGACACATTTACTTTTAAAATGTTGTTCGCTTAACATTTTTTTTCAGGTTCCCCTAGGTAACACTTTCACAATAATGACATGGAATTTAAATAAAAATAATTTTGCTAACTTGGTTTCATTGTTGACATTTAAACACATTCAACCCTAGAGAAATCATATCGAATACCCAATCATCAACACCAACCCGATAACAATGCTTCTTGATTTTGGTGAAATCGTCGAGAGCTCAAGAAAAATCATGGTGAACACAAGTAGGTTTAGTGAAAACATAAACTTTCTTCTTCACCTCCTTGTTTGATCTTTGCCTCAACTTCCTGTTAGACATGTATGCCCTAGGAGCTACATTTATTGTTTTGGGCATTAATTGATTTCTTATTAAATAAATATAATAAATAAATGTTTTATTTACTTTTTTTATTTTGGCTTAGTTAATATTTGATATTATTATTATGTACAATCTTCTTAATTCTTCATTCTTAAGAGTTAAGAATATGAGTGACGAAGAATTAATAAATGAAGTATTGTAAAAATGTTCCTAAGCTAGTCATAGGAATTCTAATTGGGCATTAGAATTCTGAAAAGACTAGCACATTGTCCTTCTTATGGCGAGTCTCATATCATTCTGTATGAGATACGGAGAGTGGACATGTGAATGATTGTTAGAGAACAAGTTATTAAACAATGACCGACTACAACATACAGCATGGTGTTTACATACGTCATACGTGTCATTGGTATGTTGTATGTTACAAGTATGACTTGAGACGACATGGTTGTCTCGTACATATGGTGGACTAGTTTTTGCCAGTATGCGTCTTTTATTCCTTATGGAATTATAAGTGTACTTGGTGGTACAATTTTCTTTTAACCAAAACATAAAATTATAAATTTACAGAAATGTTATTGAAGTTCAAAAATTAACAAGAGAATCAAAATCGATACTGATACAAAAGTTAGAGATCTGACATTGACAATGTCACTATAATTGGAAAAACAAAATTGAGCTTTTAATTAATATAAAATATTTTTATTTACTTGGATAAAATTTTAAGATGGATAGATTCTGGACATAGCTCGCAATTTCTTCCCTTGGAAAAAAAAAAAAAAAAAACTTTATAGGTAATTATATAAATCCTCATTATTAGTTTAGGAGAAATTTTTAATTAAGATGTTTAAAGAATATTACCCTTTTTAAAATATAATTCAATTAATGGTGTGTTTATCAAGTCTAGAATAATAGAATATACTCTTCTGCATAGATAGCTATACTATACTTAATTTAATTAGTTAGAAAATTTTAATTATTGAAAAGAAAATGGTATATATACTCTCATAAATATAATTTTTATTTTAATATCCAAAGGATACTATTGCTTTTGCATACCACCGTTCTTTTTTAGATTCCTATTCCCTAACTAGACTGATAAAGTCTAGAGACACGAATTCTAGTTTTGTTATATATATAATGCTTTCATTATATTCCAAACTTTTTTCTTTTTTGGCTATTCACACATGGTAGTTAAACACCAACTCGTCGTAGTGGAGTGTTTGATAAATAGCTGGTAACTGATTGGGTTAATAAGTTTAATTAGTTGATAGTATTAGTTAATTGTAGAAAGATATTTGGTAAATTAATTGTTAGTTGATAGCTGATTAGAAATAAAATAACTTTCTCAAAAAAAGTTAATAAAAAAAAACTGTTTGAATTTTAATGTCTTGGAGGCATAAGTTGTTACAAAAAGCTAATTAATCAAATACTTATATTGATTGTTTAACCAAGTCAAACAACTAATAGTTATCAAATAAGTCAAAATTAACTGATAAGCTAACTATAACGTTACCAAACATAGTCACTATCTTCTTGCTCTACTATGTGTTGTATGCGTGATACTAAAACAACTTTAGCGATACAAATTGAAATTGTGTTTAATGTACGTTTAGTTATTCAATTAGGAGATTCAATTATTTAATTATTGTTAATATAATATTTAGAATAGAGAATAGAGACATGGGAGAGAAATGATGATAGTCTCTTCATATATCATCTTACTATACAACAAGCTAAGTATGGAGTATATATACATAATACAAAGGTATTAAATCGATGCAATAAATGTATAACAGTTACATACGTTACAATAATAATGTCCATAATGATAATGAATTATAACACTCCCCCTTGGACATTATTTGGCGACGATTTCGTCTCGTCAAAAATTTGCTAGGAAAACCCGGTGGGAAAAACCTAGACAAAAAAAAGTACAATAGAAAATATATTCATGCCTCATTAAAAACTTCACTAGGAAAACCACGTGAGAAAAACCTAGTTGAAGAAAAGAGTACATGATATATGTAAAAACATATATTGTATTTGGTCGCCTCATTAAAAACCTTAACTTAAGAAAACCCTGTGGGAAAAACTTAGTTAAAGGGAAAAAGAGTACAACCATAAGCCTTCAGGGCGCAAACTGCATAATCTTCAGGATTTTGGGGTTTGTCCATTTAAGCAATTATTTTGCAACTTTTCCCCATTGTCATTACTATATCATACTCATGCCTCGTTAAAAACCACACTAGAAAACCCAATGGGAGAAAACTAGTGAGGGAAAGAGTACATGATATTTATGTATTTATGCGTTGCAAATAATGCGCAACTGTTAGTCTTTTATGACTTAATCTTCAGGATTTTACATTCAATCTTCCGGATTGGTTCAAGTAAATGTATTTCCCGTTGTGTTGCAAATAGTGCGCAACTGTTAGTCTTTTATGACTTAATCTTCACGATTTTACGTTCAATCTTCCTGATTGATTCGAGTAAATGTACTTCCCATCTCCCCCTGAAGATAACAATCTTCAAGTTCGACATGATAAAATGTATTTCAAAATTTGAAGAAATTGATTGGATAAATCTTCTGGATTGTCACTAGAGTAAAAATCTTGTACAATAATCATATAGCTCTTCTAGAGCTCATATAACATTGGTGCAACACAAGTGTTATTGTCCTCATTTTGATCATTTAGGGAAATTCATTGTATAACCAGTTTGGACTTGGCATTGCGGGGATCAAACACAATAGCCAGTACCCAAGTAGCCTATTAAAACTGTATCATGGTTTCTTACAAGAATGTCATGTCTTTGTATCTCGAAGATACCGGAAGATATGTTAATCATTATTCAAGTACTTCATTTGTAGGGGGAGCACTAAATTTTGCTAGCAATTTCATTGCAAATATGTTGCGATTATGGAACTTTTGGTTCTATAATGGTGTTCCAACGATAATGAAGTAAGGGACTTCGAGTCCAAAAAAAAAGTTCCTTATCTGCTTCAAGAGATTATTATACAACCTTTAGTTTGATAAAAAAAAACATGACACTTATATGCATATAGACATGTGAAAAAGCATTTTTAGATGTAGGCTGACTGGTGTATATAAAAAAAAAAATCTTCAAGAAAAAACTTGATCTTCAAGTCGAGATAATACTTATAGCTTTCACAAGCTTTTTTATTTCAAAAGTCTCGGTCTTTAAACATGAACTGACAGTATCAAGCTCTTTATATATTTCATTGATGTTTACACCATCAATCTTGACTGAGATAATAAATAATAAATAAGTTCATTATCAACCCTTTATTGAGCACACAATGGTACATAATATTCCTTCAATGAGGATATTAACTTCATTCGCAACCCTTTAAAGAGTAAATAATGACACATAATAATACTTAAATAAATCCTCACTTCGAGAATTATGAATCCATCCAGGATTTCTCAAAATAAATTTAACTGCATATCTAAATTTATTATTCTGTCAATTGTATTATGTAGCGGAACTTAATGTCATTTACCATGGGAGAGTATATTTGATTAAAAT